TGATCAGAGAGTCATAAATGATGTTGAACAGATCAAAGACTACAAATGTGACTTTATAATAGCTTCTATTATTTCAGTGAAATAATAGAAGTTATTATAATTCAGTGATCCAGTGATCTGAAATGTGATAGAATGGAAAAACACAAAATTGTGCAATGAAAAGGGGAAGGTTAAAAGTATCAAAAGTTTTGGATCTCATAGTTTGGATCTTGCTTTCACAAATTTTATTTTTATCCTTCTGTGCGGCCTGTAGATTTTTGTGCATGCTACCATTGCAAAACTGAGACACCACTTCCAAGTTGAAATTTGTTCTTAGAATTAGTCCTATCTATAAAAACGGATATTCTCCAGTAGGTAAGCTAGGGAGGTGAGTGAAGCTTTCATTTTCCTGGTGTCTGGTTCTCCTCAACATTTTAGGCCCAAGTACAGTGCAATGCAACCAACATGTGCTCCACATGACTCTACTTATATGATTTACTGATGAATGAAGCTACAACACTTCAACAGTGCAGACTGAATTAAGCATTGTTACTTTTCTAGCATTGCATATTTCTCATTTAACATTGGTCAGAGTATCTAGTGTGGTTTACATTCTGTAATCAGTGCACAACACGAGCTTCTGCCTATGGCTCTGGTTTCTGGCATGCAGCTATGAGCCCACATTGGTGGTACAAAACTACTAAACACAGCTCTGCAGAACAACACCTCCCCATCACAGCCGGCTGCAGAAGAGAAAAGGCTCTTCTAAGGATACTGAGTTACTGCCCTCTACAGGATCATATTTGCTAGTGAGTCTTGATCAATCTATTGTTGTGTATTAAAGGGAAATTCTACCACTTTTTCAAAAATTCAGCATAACTTGGTTGTTCAGATGTAAAGAAAGTCATTCAGAGTGTTTTAATAAGAGATGGTTCATTAGTACTCTTGGTACAACATTTTACAGTGTTGGTACAACACTGTAAAATCTAATAATACATGCTATTTCTTGTATAATCTGTAGTACTCAGTTTTTTTTGGCCCAAAAAGTTTCCCAGCATGCTTAACAGTTTTATTGGTTTCTGTTATTTTTTTATTTTTTTGAAGATTATTTTTGTGTGATAGCGTATACTCGTGTTAAATGTGAAGTCTGGATGCATTTTACACTGTTTCGTGACTCTCTCCATGATGGTGTTTTGTGTTCAGGTTTATCAGTTCAGCCTGGAGCCATGAATCCTAACAGAATGGCCAACATGCTTTAAGCTATAAGAGCCCTATAAGTGGCTGATTCTAATTTCAACCAAGCTGTTTATTATTTATTGTATTTAAAAACTGAAGAAATTAAATTGAGTTGTTTAATTAATACCAATACATTACATAAGGAAGAATGTTATCCTAAGTTAACCTAACTAATTCAACAGTAAGCAGAACGTAAAAAAGGAAAGTACTGCCAGCTCAATGGAAACCATTTAAAATGACTGGGCTTAACCTCACTTGTTGAGTAAGTGTGGATCACTAAAAGTTAAGAAGTAACTTTAGCTTATATATTTGTAGTTATTTAAGCTTGAACCTGTTAAGTGACTTAGTTTTTGAGGCAGTAAGTTGGCATCTTTTCATATAATAACAATGTGATTTTTTTTGAGGCATTACACTCTTAAGACATCTGGTTCCTATCACCACCACTTGAACAATTCTGACTCTAAATGCTTCTCTAGAATGAAGTATTTCACATCAAACCCCTCTGAATAACTTTGTTTATATCTGAATAAAAAATTTTGAAAATTTGGTGGAATTCTCCCTTAATGTGTTCCAGGGTTTCAGAGTTTCTAGGTAAAGAGAGATTCAGGGAGGTGCAAGAGAATCTATAGAGTGTACAATTTAAGACAGCACAAGAACATTTAAGGCAATCGTTACTGTAATCACTCACTGTCAGCAAAAAGATGCTTTGGGAGCTATTTTAGTATATAGGTCATTAGGGCAAAATACTAATTGAAAAGTTACCTGAATTTTTTTAAGGTAATGATTTGGATTATTGTGAGTATTACTATCAAGACATTTCTTTGACAAGTTTTCATGTTTTTATTGATATTTTCTTGAATATTTCCAGGTACAATTCCACGATCACAGCAGAAAACCTTTGTGATAAAAAAATAAACAATTTATCTAATTACCAAAATATACAAACCAAATTCAAACACTTTTTTATCAATTAGGCCTGTTAATAAATCATAGTGAACATTTTTCAGAACATTTGAAATGTGACCATTATTATAGTATTGGAATGTGTTCTGGAAATCATAACCATTAATATACTATAGTTAATTCTCATGAAACCAAACCTGAAAATGTCATTTTTTCTTCCTTCTGGCACTCAGAATTCATCTTTTTTAAGAGTGTAGTTCAAATTCTTTTTTCACCTTTCATTAAATCTTATCTTGAAAATAACATTTTGGTTCTATATAGAACCAGGAACACTCAAAGAATCCTTTGCATGATTAAACGTTCTTCAGATTGACAAAGAATGTGCTATAGATGGTTCTATATAGAACCTTTTTGAAAAGGGTTCTCTATAGCACCAAAAAGGGTTTTGCTATTGTTACAAGCTTGACATGGTAACAAAAGAAGAACCCTTTTTGGTGCTATTTAGAACCCTTTTGAAAAAGCTTCTATATAGAACCTTCTTCATCACACATTCTTCATCAAGCAGGAGAACGCTTTCAGAAAGCAAAGAATCCTATAATCATGTAAAAGGTTCTATATAGATTTATTTTTACTAAAGCACTGTATATTTTAAGCATATACTGAGGTTTATGGCCTTTTAAAAAAGTGAAACCAGTTAATCTTGTCACTTTCACATTAAGATTGTGTGAAGCAGTCCTGCCCCCTCGATAACTTGTGCCCATTTGCCACATGAGCTATTTTTCTACAGAGGTAGAAACGGTACAGCCAAAACTCTACCGGTGAACAAGTATATACTTCTGCAGGTTTACTGTTATACTGCCCAACCCTGGCTGTGTGTGTGTGTATACATGTGTGTGTTGGTGAGGGGCTTATAGGATAAGAGACAAAAAATAGAGAAAGAATAGGAATTTATAGTACAGTTCAAAATAGCTCAGCTGTGGCTTTGTGCTTACTCCTGCTGTGACCCCTCTGACCCCTAACCTTTCTCTTTCCTTTCTTCTGTATTCCTCCAGCAGTTCTGAGTTGCTGTAAATTTTAATCCTAAATTTTACCCGCTTTTTTCTGAGGCTTTCTTTTTCACTATTTCACTGTTTGCAATTAAGGATAACACAAAGCAAAACAGCAGTGGCTTTAAGAAAATGTTTAAGTCAGGTAAAAAGCACTTGTTTGATGGTTCTCTGTTGCACAACTGGCCTTAATAATAGAGACGACATTATGACCAAGCAAAATGAATTTCATTTTATTCAATGTAAACAATTTTACACTGAAATCTGCAGTCGAGTAGTGGCCTTTCTGAACTTTGCAGGGTCTTGCACATCTGCTACTACAGAGAGAAGAGCAGTGATTCTGACTGAAGATGACTCTTCAGTGAATAATCTTAAAATGCATATAAATATATAAATATACATAAATTAACTGCAAATTTAAATTAAATTGTAAATTAAACTTACAGTTGTATGCAAAGGTTTGAGCACCATTGGCCAAATTACATATTTAGTTCATTTTTGAAGAGAAAAAAGTAAACATAACCTCGGGCCAGGTCTGGGGTGCCCAAATTTTTGCATACAACTGTACCAGTTTAGATCATAAACAAGTAGCCTATAAATGCAACTAATATCAATTTTTATAAGTACTACAATGACTATACAGGGCAGGGGTGGAATTTGTACCATAGGTGTACATCACATGCTACATTAAAAAAGACTGTAATTATTTTTAGCATTATTTTTACTTAGACTTACCTAGGTTATTCACAAAGCATCCTCATTTAGAAGTGTTTTTAACTACATAGTAGCAGCAATCTGTAAGGAGAGTAGCCAGTCTGATCTGAAACTGATCCTAGCTCTTATTTTGATGTGCTCCATGGATTTCTCAGTTACACCGATAACATAAATCAGAAGTCAAGTCCAACATGCGAAGAAGCAAGTGATGTTCCTATTGGGCAAACACTCTGTTTTGGCTTTGGCTTACACAGTTAAGCCGAGAAGTTCTGCTTTGTGAAATGTCCTGAATATGCCAAATATTTGGGAAAGTTAACAAAGTTTGCTGTACGTGTGTTTTTGATATTGGTTTGAAGGAAGATCAGCACACAACTACAAATCTCCTCATCTGGCTGGCTTCACATTTGAGGAAGTTCCATTTACATACTGTGCTTCTGAAGATACATTAAAACATTAAAACAAGTGCCTTTCCATAAAATAAACACCATGATTCTTCTCATATTCTGTAGATGTTGATGCATCCTTCATATCTCAGCTCCACAAAACCAAGCCCATTCTTATTAAAGATAAAACTGTCTGTGAAACATCTCTTGCAACATTGTTAAGCCAGCAAGTATCTGAAAGTCATCAGCAGCTGTGGAATGTGGACAAATCTGGACCGAGGTCGGGGTTGGGGGGGCAGTATAGGCCAGCTACGAATTTCAAAACCCTCTCAAATTTTAGCGCGAAATCTTTATAGACACGTTTACCATATACGCCACTATGAAGTACATTTGTAAGATAACATGTAATGACTTTCCTACATGCAAATCTGCTAGATATAGTTGCAAAAAAACAACATTTTCTCCAATTACAGCTGAGAAGTGAGGCATTGTTAGGGTATTGCATTAGCCACTGTAAGAGAATATGTGACGTCTACCTTTGGGGAGGGGGAGCAATGATGGTCTTATGAGTTCATTTTTGTCAGAGGAATATATTCACATTCATAACACCTCTCGCACGATCAACTGGCACGTCAGTAGTATGGTATTGTCCTTCTCACAAGATAAAATAAATGTTTTGTAACCAAAAATTGCACTAGCTAACAACACATCCCCCCTCTGTGGTGCTATGGTACGGGCGGTTACTATGCTGTCTTGGCTGCGTTTGTCTTCTCCAGCTGCGACTGTTGACTATGAGGACGTGCGCGACTGAAAAATAACGGCATAGTATCTGTTCAAAACCTGACTTTCTAATGCCTGCATCGTTAATATGGCTGGTATAAACAGAACTAACGGAAGACCCTATTTTGTCGGTCCGGCAGTCAGGTGACTACAATATTAAGCCGTTTCTGTTCGTCTGAATTGCTTCTTACTTGAGCGACATGTTTTGTTTCGAGTGAGATGACGGTTGTTGTAGTAGCGCGGCTGTAACGTTAGCCAAGGACGGCCAGCTTTCGATTTAGCTGGCTAAGCAGCCGACTAACTGGGCATTAATACGAAAATTATTCAGATTAATTGTCGGTCTTTTTGTGAATGCACCCGGCACGGTTTTATCTAAGCTATTGGCTAACGGTAATAACCTACGTAAATCTCAGTATGCTCAGTGTGGGTGTGTTGGGCGGTTACCAGGCTGTAACCGTCATCGCGTTTATGTCCATGTTCGGTTACGTTACGGTACCTGAATGAACTGTTGATAGAAGAGCACCTAAATAATTTAGTCCACATCACCTGAGCTTCGAGTTACTGAGGCAGCTAATTCTGCTAGCTGCTAGCACGGTGTAAACATCCGTAAACGTTAGCAAACTGTTTATTTAACGTTGCTGAAATGGGCTGGTTTTGCCTCTGGATAAGTTGTTTAAATAGCCTTCTTTTATTGTAGCCATTTGTTTGCTTATTAATATTATCTCATCAATATTCAATAACATTACAGACCCAAAAATACAAATACTGGAAAAAAAAGGTGTTGTTTTGAATTGACTTTAACATTCAACATTGTGTAACTTACATGATTTACATTGGTTCCACATTAATGAAATTATTAACATATTAATAAAATTAATAACATAGGTTACATAACGTTACATCAACACAATCAACTGTAGTTCATTTTACTCACTTTTTTTGCAAGAGTGGTGTGGTAATGTGTTTTATTCCTGTGGAACTGGTGTACACGTTTGAATCAAGAAAATTCAGAGCAACACTTCTTTCAGTGAACCTTTGCAAGGGGAACATTTTAAACTCAACCATCTTCCTGCAGATTTCATAACCAGTTCTTACACACCTGATCCATCCTATCCATCAAGTCAAGGACCTGTGCAGACAGTAGATGGATGAGATGTGATGTATTAGGTTGGAGATAAACTCTGCTTCAACTCTTGGAGCAGACCTGGAAACCACTGCCCTAAAGGACATTTTTGTTTAACTTTCTTGTGATGTGCAATTATGGCTGTTCATTCCAGTGATGAAATGATGAAACAAGTCTACAGGATTACAGCATTTTCAAGCTACTTAGAAATAAGTTAAAATGTTCTCAAGCCATACACCTTTACTGACGTAATGGAAACAGCTTGGCTTTTGAGGGAATTAGGGAGTGTCCAATTTCAGACCTTTTATGTAGCTTTCAGCAAATGTTAGAAATACATAATAAAAAAAGAACAAGAAGAACTGACAGCTGAAATCTGTTCAGGACATTTCCAGCAAGCAAATATACATACAGCTTATACTACACCCTTGACTTCACTTTCAATGTCTTTTTCTTTGACTGATAAAGTGATTTTGCTTACTGGGTAGACTCTGTTGTGTTCTGGTGTATGTCCAGGTATTGTACAGTGTAAAAGAAAAGATTTGAAAGAATTATACAAATATGCTATGCTTGCAGCTGCTTACGCCTGCGGCAAGTCCAGGCTTTGCTGAGGGATGATGGGAACACAGCTCCAGATGGCATCCTCTGCTCGCTAGGTGAGTTTGTCCTTTTTACCTGATAACACCCATTCCCTTTAATATCTCTAAGTAGCCAGACTGAGAACGTTTATTAAGTCTATATGTCTAATGCCTATGTTTCACCATGCTAATAATGCTACAGGCAGGTATCTGCCTTGTACAGAATATTTTGTGGCAGCTAGTACAAGAAAACCAGTTGTACTTAATTACCCTGTGCTTGTTTCGTGTTTGTATTTTTTTGTATTTTTCAGGCATCGACAGCCGATATAACGAGGGCTGCAGTGAGCTGGCCAGCTACCTCTTCTTTGATTTATATAAACATAACCAGGAGCAGATCCCAGAAGACTTCCCTGAGGAGGTGCTGGATGGTATGACCCAACTCAATGAGCCACACTCCACTATTAGCTTAATCGCAGGGTTGTGAACACTGGTTGCTTGTCTCCACTGAAATGTGAACATGATGTCTCCCAGCTCTGGTGTTCTTTTCCAATAGCAGTTCCATTGTCCGCTCTAGAAGAAAAAAAGAAAATAATCTTAAAAGGACATCAGATTCTTCCAGGATTCTGAGTTTGCATAATCACACATTCCAGTTTGGTCAGTAAACTCGTGCAGTTCAGAGTTTTCCCCAGAGTGTTATAGGCCCTGCGGACCACTAGGCCAATTTTGTCATCCTGCTTGAGAAAAATAAATGAACAGCTAATGTTCTGCAAGTTAAGTTTCATTTTAAGCAGATATAAATACATGTAGAATGATTTTTCCATATGACTTTGCTTATTTTTGTTTAAAACAGAAACACTTCATATTTTAGTATTTTCCAGTGACAATTTGAGTGTAAAGCCAATTGTTTTTGCTCACTGTACTAACTCTGCTGATGTTGAAGCTGTTTTTGACATTGTCAGGCGAGGACAATGTGGTTGGTAAACATGCAACAAAAAATGCATAAGCACATCCATCATACACTATATGAATGCAGAAGTTTGAACACCGGTCAGATTACATGTTTTGTTGATTTGTGAAAATAAATTAGCATATTCTCTACAGAGAGCAAACTTAAATATGACTTTTTACTGCACGCAGTTTCTACTTACTTGCTGAGTTTAACATGTTGGGAAAAAACAGTATAAAATGTGCAATAAATTTTGCACAGCCACATTTTTTGTTTTTTTCCCATTATGTTAATTTCAGCAAATAAACATTAATTGTGTGCTTAAATATGGAGAAGTGTCTTCTCTGTAGAGGATGTGTTTATTAATAAGGATGTGTAGGTCTAAAAGTATCCAGACACCCCTTATAATTAGGGAATTCAGCTACTTTAAATGCACCCAGTGCTGAAATTGGAGTTCATTTGTACTGAAAGAGCTTGTATAATCTCCTTAGAAAAGCATTGGCAATAGAGTTAGACACTCTGGAAACGCTGCACATGAGTCTAAGGTTACCATGCTTAATGCTACACGGGTATAAAGCTCAGTGGAATAGTGTTCTCTGGAGTGACGGGGCACCGCTGAGTGCCTTTGGAATGACTCAGAGTGACATTTATGATCCAGAACTTATAATCTAACATCAGTACCTGACCTCACTAATGTCTTGTAGATGTATACAGTTAAATCTTAACAGCAATGTTCTAAAAATAAAGTGCAAAGCTTTCCCAGATAGGTGAGGTTGTTACTGCAGCAAAGGGGGTGGGGGGGCGACTCCTTATTGATACTCTTGGTTTTGGAGAAAATGTTGTGCAAACATTTAGACACAATATTTTAACAAATTTACTATTTGCGAAGCTGCTGTTGAAACTACAGCAAAGTCTATAAATGATAATGTAATTCACTCCAAGATGTTCTTTCAAAAAATTCAAACAAAATTCCTTAAACTTATAGCTGATATTCCTTTAAATATAGGATGTGTAATTGTATGAAAAGCATGAGGATTATCAGGTAGTTCTTAGTGACCCTCTGGAGGAAGTTATTTCTCTGACTCCGGAAAGCTGCTGTGTTGTGGCTTTAATACTCTGCTATTATACTGTGAACCGCTCTTTGTTTGTCCGCAGATGTGATCATTCTGATAAAGGCAGAGAGTGTGCACCTGTACTGTAACCCAGTGAATTACAGCTACCTGCTGCCCTATGTTTCCCACTGGAGGAATCTGCACCTGCACTGCATGACTGAGACAGAGGTGATAATCTGCTACATTGCTCTTTACAAACTCATGGAAAGACTGAGAATGTTTCTGAGCATGTCATCAATTTGCCATATAGTACACTGTTTTGGGAAGTCAGCAATCTTGTATTACCCCCAGTTAAACATCATTTGTAGTGCTGTTAATTTCTTTAAACAATTAAATTTAAACAAATGTATACTAAGCAATCACAGCTTGTTTGCGCAATGGCACTTTGGTTGCTAAGCTACTGCGGCACCATGATAGTGCCTCAAAACCTTGCGCTGGTTTATTTTCTGGTTCATCTTTCAGTGTAGCAATTTGACTATAAGGCGCTGTGATTGAGAAAACGAGTGAGCAATTTCACACACACGCTTGATATATTCTACCAGTTCTTTTATATGAGTGTATAAGAAGATTATCTTTCAAGACACAAGTTGTGACAAATATTCTTACCATTTTTATTCCTCTCTCTCTCTCTCTCTCTCTCTCTCTCTCTCTCTCTCTCTCTCTCTCACACACACTCACACACACACACACACACACATACACACACACACACACACACCACAGTATGAGGATGAGGAAGCAGCAGAAGAGTTCAAAATCTCCAGCTTTGTGTCCATGGTTGAGGACTGCACTTGTATTGGAATACCCTACAGCTCTCATAGTAAGGCCAAACACTCATGCATGTAAATTAACTGATTATTTTTCTCATTCTGCCCCTGATGTTGTTTTGAATATTGTTGTCTTTAGGCCATGTGCAGAAGTTTGATGTGTTCATGTTGGAGAAGTGGCCCATTGTTCAAGCATTTGCTCTGGAGGGAATCGGCGCTGGAGGATTTTTCACCATGAAATATAAGGTAAAATATAAGAGGACTTTGCTGAGGACTGCTATCTGTACAGAAACACACACACAACCTTCCTATTGCAGTCTTTACTAATTAAAAGTGCAATTTTTTTTAGCTGATTGATGTGAGTGAACAGCTTTGGCAGATTTATGCAAGACTGGACCCAGTGTCTTTGGACTGTCTGCTCAATGAGGTAAAACAGACATTGTTGCCTAATTACCCTGTGCACAGAAATACCAACAAACGACAGCTGATACAAAAGTGATTCTCTCTTGCAGGATTTGCTGTCGTTTGAGAGGCAGTGGAGCTGCTTGTTCTCCAGCTTGGGCATAGAAAGCGCACTGTCCATGCAAGAGTTGTCAGAGGCTCAGACTGCAGAGGTACACAGTTGCTCTTATTCTGAAATATGCAGTTATTATCTCTAAATTAAGGAAGGGCTAGTTGTAATATTCTTCTCTTTCCCATAGCCATTCAGAACATATTACTCCCATGGTCTCATTTCCAGTAACATCACAGATAACAGGTAATATCATTGGTCTAGACCTCATTTTCTGTTATATATTTTTTTGTGTCAATCTATGTGATGAGTATAAAGAGACATTAAATGTGGCCTGTATGTATGTATGTCTATCAGTAAAAGCCGACAGCCATTCGTGTTGTTTGGAAGTCACTCCTCTAAAGAGGATCTGGACAACTACTGCTTTACCTTCCCTTCTGAGGGCCACCAGATCCGTAACACAGGGCCTCATGGGGGCCCTGCCAAGCACATGGTAAGAGGAAACAAGTGTACAAAGTCAACAGTCAAGCACAATGCAAACGGACCTCACATAAATAAAAAGTATTGTTTACGTCTATTCTTTCTTTTCAGCTGCTTCAGTGTGTCGCTCCTAAGGGCCCCTTGGCCTGTGCAAGAACATATTTCTTTGGCAGCACTCATGTCCCATACCTAGGTGAGTTTGTGGTATGAGCAGTAATCAGTAAAGTGAGCAGGGGGAGCAAAGTTAGCTGATTTCCCTGCTTTAACATACTAGGCCTCACAGTGAACTGATGATCTGAATCAGGTGTGTTTGCTCAGGAACATCACCAAACTGCAGGACTGGAAAGTAAAGCTTTTGGCTCGGTGCATATGTACTGCCTCTGCATGGCATGAGTGATGCTGAACATCTTGCTTGTCATTTCAGTGCTTATGTTAATGAGTTAGGGCTGGGTTTCTCAAAAGCATCCTAGCTCAAACACGATTCTTAAATGGTAGCCCAAGCATCACAGTAAGATGCGTTTGTGAGAATAGGTTCAGAACTTTCACACAGGCTGTGCGAGCAGTGTATCCTCGGTGCGGCCCAGAAGTGGCATAGCGTTCAGAGAATACATATGGAGCCTTTTTTTTCATGTGCCACATGCGCTGCACAGCAAAATAAAGTAAGAGGAACCAATGAAAATTAAACGGAAAATCACATAAAAATGTCAAAAGACACGTTCACATTTCCTGAAAGCATATTAGCACAAACACGATTCTTAAATGGTAGCACACTGGAAAGCACTAACATTTAAGGACATTGGTAGCACAATTGAGCCAGGCTTGAAACCATTGCCCAAGTCAAAATAATGCAGAGGGAAAACACGTTTATTGTGCTCTTATACAAATGGTGATTGTATTGAGCGTACTTACAGGTTTGACTGTATATTTGGATAAAGGATGTCTGTAGAACTTGCTTGCTGCACCATTCTGCAGCATAAATGTTGTATGTGTAAATGGCCAGCATGTACAGCTGCTGCTGCATCGCTCATGTCATGCAAAGGTGGCATGTGTGTAACAGGACTTTTTCTTAGGCTAATTTTTTTGAGTGACTTACTGTGGACCGATATGGACTGTATTTCCCTTCTCTCTCATTCTCTTTCCCCAGCGCATGATAACACCCAGCAGATGAAGACTGAACTCCTGTGAGTACTAGACAATGTTAGCATGTGCCGTTTGGTTATAGTAATTACAATTACAATTTCATTGGAAGTAGTTTGAATTTTTTGTTTTTTTTGTTTGCAGGCTGCTGTCACAGATCTATTCAGCTGCAGTTCAGGCTGTGCTGGCAGGAATAAAATGCTTCTCTATCAATTCCAGTGCTGGCAAGGTGCACTTTTAATTCTGTGTAAATTAGCAGAATTAAGCACAATAATATCCAGTACATGGCCTATGTACATGTGTACAAGAAGTGTGTTTGCATAAACCCAATGATCTGATCATAGTCAGATTTCTGCAGTTATGTGATGATTCAAATGGTCATGTAAACAGCATACCCCAATTTCTTAGATCAGAGTGTAGCCTAAAAGTAAAGATGAGCTGGAGGTTGAAAGGTAGGTAGGTAGGTAGACAGGCAGGTAGGCCATTCAGTCATTTCTTTCTGTGATTGGACAGGGTTTTTACAGTCCTGTGGCCTTCACAGATAACAATTTTTTTCTTTTTATTGTCAGAGTATTTTATTTATTGATTGCTGTCAGGATGTAAAGAATATTTCAAGAAATACAACAAAAGATATTTCTAAAATAAATCACCTCCACTTTTAAAGGGGAATTACAGTAGTGCATGTCGTGAAAGCAAAGTAAGAACTGTGCACAAAATGTTATACACTGATCATTTCTTACACAGCGCTGTCTATTTTTCTAGGCAAAAGATGTGGCGGAGCAAACGTTTCACCTAGCTTTGGACACATTTGGCTTGCTTCAGTACAGGAGTGCTCTCAGGTTTCTTTCTTGCTCTCTCACATGCACTTTTACTCATTTCCTTTCTTAAATTTCTCTGTGTGGTTTTGGGTGATTAGTTGTATATGATATTTACTTACTTGCTTTGTGTTGTAATTCAGATCTAAAACTGTATTCAGCATCCAAGCTGTGAACAATGAGGGCAGGTGAGTTTACGCACTCATGCGCAGCACGAAAATATGTATGTTTGCATTGTTTGACAGGTGAAATTACATATTAGTTTTGTGGTACCTCTTTTCAAAGGCTCAATTTTTTTTTTCCTTACTATTCTAGAGTCATGCCTCTCAGCGATGAGCACAGCCGCTTTCTGGTGAAAACTGTAAGTACTGTTGATGTTTGTCACATCCTCAGCTTTTTTTTTTCAGTTTTTTTCTGATATTGCGTGCATGTGTTATCTAGACTGTTTATGAATTGTGCCTGTAACGCTGTTGTGTGATAGTGTTGTATGACCTTCCTCAGGCGTCCATGGTGGTACATGATATTCCAGATCTCCAGTGGGGGGGAGACAGCCTTGGATCTGTAGTGTTCTCTGAGTCCTTTCTGGAGTCCAGCATCTACATTCAAGATAGGGGTGAGGTTCATCTTTTGTAACCACATCTTTTGCTCTTTTGCTTTACAGTCGTAATGACACGATGGAGGCACAAGCTTCAAAGATGTGCTGACAGAATACTTAACAACATAATAGCCCTATTTCAGCTCTCATTGCTCTACCAGAGTTTGTCTGGTGTCTCGTATGGTATTGACTTTGCGTAAGATTGTTTCGTAAATTGTGTTGTTCCACTATTTCACTGCACAGTTTATACTGTGCACCTTACAGTCATAGTGCAAATAGTAGGCAGTCTTATGCAGACAGTTTTGATTAGCTACAGCCTTAATTTCAGACCCATTGCAAGCACATATTGTGGCCCCATCAAGCCACATTTCGTGCTGTGGTTTTTCATGTACATGCTTCTGTTCTGCCCTCTGTGTTCTACCAGACAAAACTTCTGTAATTGTTACTTTGGAGTAGCAGAGTACTGTTTTATTGCAGCCTTAGTTCAAAGAGATTACATTTTACTGACCCTGAAAATGAGATTTGTGGATGGAACAGTAAAATTCTTTGGACGAAGGTTATTATTTACATAAGGTTATGTGATTAGACCATGAAACAGAAAGTTGTCCCTAGGCTGGAAACAGGCAACAGTGTTTGGCTACTTCACATTGATGACCTTATGCTGGAACAGGAATGGCCAGGCTGAAGAACAACAAAATAAGCTTGCAGAATGAAGGTAGTCATGGGATAGTCATGAAAGAAGTGTAAAATGTGCTGCATAGCATGATGTCAGTTGTGTAATATTTGTCTTGTTCTGCAGATGGCGCCCTTTCCACAGACAGCTGCTTCACTGTGCTTACCTCTTCAGTCCCACGCCATATGTGCTGGCTGGTATGGTATTTTCTCTCTCACACATTGCTCATGTGTGGTATGGCTATTGACAGACAGACTGTTTTCACATTTTCGTCTTGATTATAAACATTTACATAGTAAAGTCATACCGCTTATGATATGCATACTGTAATACACTGGCCTCCTGTATTTGAAGCCTAGTTTTATGTGAAGTCCAAGTTCAAGTACTTTTTTGCCATTTGTAGTTAAAATACCTACGTTGGAATTCAAATGTGAAGATCTCAGATAGAAAAGAAAATACAGAAGAATAACTATAAAACTTTAAAACAGTGGATTCTAGCATTATAAATATCTTCTATGAAAGATAATAATTTGGCCTACATAATCCAATTAATAATTGGATTAATTAATAATTCAAATAGCAATTATTTGACCTTAGTTATTTAAGCTGATTGCAATGATTTTCCATCGTTGTTAGCTTTACAGTTAGAGGTTTGTGTCACAACAGACAGAATGTGAATTGGGTGCATTTTTATCATGGATGCTGTAACACATTTTGAGAGTGGTGAACTGTGTCAGTCTTCAGTTGGGAGCTACTAAGAATCAAGAAAACAAGACAGCTAATTTGTCAGTTTGGCCATTTTAAACATGTATTTTGTTAGTTGAATACAATTAACAAAAAAGCAGTTCAGTTGTTATTCTCAATTATTTATGACAGTTAATCATCTGCTAAAAATTCATTATGTTGACAGGCCTATGTATAATTCTCTGCGGTTCTTTGGTACAGTTACTGCCAATCTGTAACAACACTAGTTAAAATACTATCAGTAGTGCATCTGTAAACAGTTCTGAAAATGTTAACATTCAGTCCTTCAGTTACCCCCAAAGTACCATCATTGCTATGTTTTTCTGTTAAGTGAACATATTTGACCAGGAGTGATCAGAAGAAATCTCACCCTCTAAAGCAGGGAAGAACAGTTTCTTCTACTCAAACACACCCACTAAATGTGACCTTAACTTAGATGTTTCTGACCAGGCAAATCACCAAAAGTGTGCTGGACACTGGCCCTCTAGGACTGGAGTTGTGCACCTTGCTCTAAAGTGTAAAACTATTGACTTTGCCAGCTTTCGTTTTGTGTTGGTTTTTAGTTTCACTAAAATTAAATTTTATTTCTTTTATTAACATCTAGGTGAAAACTGTCAATATTGCAAATGTTTGTCACATCCTCAGAAGATATTCTGCATTTCAAGGACATCTTACAGTATTTCTCGGATATTGCGTATATGTGTTATCTAGGCTGTGTTTTTGTATTATGCTTGTTTTGCTGTTGTGTGACGGAGGGTTGTATGACCTTCCTCAGGCTTCTGTGGGGCCGGGGCACTCAGTCCCCTGATTAATTATTAGCAGTGGTAAAACCAGTTAGAATTGTACCAATGGCATGTTTAACAGTTAACCTAGGTGTGTTTGCTTCTTTACAGTGTGCACTACGTAGCACTGATGAATTTGTTTGTTTGACTGACTGACTGACTGCTGGCTTCTGCTCTGTGGGTTGTAGGTGGAGGAGTCTGATGTCAGATTGTCCGAGCAGGCTCTGCACTTGCTGAAGGTGAAATACGGTGCAGTACTTATTTTAACACAAGGTCTTTGTTTGATTAATAGACAGACTTGATTTGCTCATCCTGTGTTCTCTGGCTTTTATTTTCTTCCTCCTTGTGTGTATGTATGTGAGGGAATAGGAGGAAAATGGGACATGTTTGGGCACCGCTCTAACAACAAAAGACTCATCCCAGGTGCTTTCCAGCAGTCTGCTTTCCACCCCTGAAGAAGGTATTCATTGCCTTCATATGTTTACATTTGTACAGTACTTTTCTTAAGATTTGTTCTTATATTTGGGGATTTTGTGTTCTAGGGAAGCTGGTATTTTTCTCAGAGGGATTGCTGTTCATAAGTTCACATTATGGCACCATCACCATCTCCAAAAACCATATCAAGACCATCAAAGTCTATGATGGGGTCAGTGTCCATCATCATTATGGAACTACTATATTAGACACTCAATTGTAGAGCAATTACCTGATTTTTACTAAGCTACGGTCTTCTAAAAAGCATCGCAACCTCCAAAGTTTGACATTGTCGATTGGATTAAGTATTCATTGCTGCTGAGGCGTAATCAGAAATGCTATGTGAATGTGACTGTTTTGCAGGACTCTCTCTCTGCTGCAGCAGTGCTGTTCATAAATTATGGGAGCTCTCTGCTACCACACCTTCCTTTTCATCTGCACAGCCCCGATCACTGCTTGGCCATCACTCTGATGCCCAAAACAAAGGGATATAAAAGCTTCTACTCACAGGTATATACGCACAGACATGATCGCCCTGATTTGTTTTTCCCAGCAGTGGCTTCGGCTTAACCATTCTGGGCTTGTGCTTTTGTTTTTAAATTAAATGTGTTTGGATTTCAGGTCCTGCAGGTTTGGAATAAGCCTGATTCTGGGCTTCGGATGCAGCATGTGGCCCAAGACCAGCTGAGTCTGGACCAGAAAAACATGTGAGACTGCCATCCACATACAGCAGTGCTATGCTATAGCACTGCATTATATTTTTGCATTATGTTCTTATCTTTTGCTTGACTTGACAGAGTTTTCTGTGTGTGTGTGTGTGTGTGTTTGAACCTGCTGATCCTGGCAGGTACTCTAGATTACTAAAGCTCCATGAGCCCCATGGTTCATCCACAGCAAGCTCCAGAGCAGCTCAAAGGACCGCTTATCCAGAGCTGCCGGAGTTGGACAGGTAGCACACGTTTACTCAGTGGCCAATTGCAGGGTTCACTGTTGAGGTGGTTTTTATCTCAGCAGTATTGATGAGGGTTTGTGTTGTGATCTCCAGGTTCCTGAAGCATTTTGCTGTTAGCAGTAGTGTTTGTGAGGAGTCTGTCTGCAGTGACCACCTAACAGCTCTCTTCCCAAACGCCCACCATAAACCAGCTCCTTCTGAGTCAGAGCAAAAGGTCAGCCAGCTAAATAACATGCACTGATATGCATACTCTTGCAGGCATATAAAAGGTCATGTTAGCATTATGTTTTTGATTAATTTTTGTATTTGTATGTGCGTAGGTGGTCCTTTCCATCATTTCAGGCTTACCAGGCAGTTATAAAGAGAGTCTGTGTGATTTTTTAGTGGAGGTAAATCAAGAATGTGGCAGGTGGGTGCAAATGCTCATTAGCTATCATGCTGGCATATACAGTAAATGATTCCACTTTTTTAACTGAATGTTAATTTATTGACAGATGGGAAGTATACTCCCCTGCCCTGGACTTGGAAGATCTCTGTGTGCCACATCTCCAGCGATTCCTGAGCAGCCTTGTTGCCACACAGAGTGAGATGCATTTTAATACACCAAGAGTGCTACTACTCACACCAGGGTAAGATGTGCACACAGCACACATTTTGTGAAGGTTCTTTTTACAGTCATGTGGTACTGATGTGTATATACAGTGCCTTGCAAAAATATTCAACCTCTTTTAAAAGTCATGAGATTCATCTTGACACTTACGCAGATTGTGCTAGCCAGTATTTTTATTGTAAACTAATAGAATAATAATTAATAATAATAATTATTATTATTAATAGTAATAATAATAATAATAATAATAATAAGTTTCCCCAAGGTCACTTTAAATGATCACAATAGCATAAAAAAAATTAAGAGAAGAAGAAGAAGAATGAAAGTATTTAGAAAACAGGAACATTTTGAGGTGGATTTTGGAGAAGGACAGGGTAGTTTTGGGGCCAGAACACTAAAAGATCTGCCTTCAGAATTGGAACATTTAAAGGCAGGGACCACCAAAGGGCTCACATCAGAGAACGGCTTGCAGTATGTCCCTGTATTTTGCACCATCTGTCCGTCCTTCATTTTTAACAAGATGCCCAGTCCGGACTGAGGAACAGCATCCCCACAGCATGATGCTGCCACCCCCATTCTTCACTATGAGGATGGCGTTTGTTGAAGAATTAGCAGTGTTAGTTTTGTGCCACACACAACACTTTAAGCCAGAAAGCTTCTTGTCTTATCTGACCACAAAAACGTATTCCACTCTGATGCTTTCTGGCAAACTCCAGACATGCTTTGATGTGTTTTTTTTCTTTCCCAGTAATGGCTTCTTTCTAGAGACCATCCCATACAGGCCAGCTGTATGCCCAGCTTTTGACATCGTTGACTAGTGCATCTTCACTCTAGTTGCCCTCTCTGTGGCTCCCCTCACATGTCCCCTTTTTACTCTGATGCTGAGTTTTGAGAGATAGCATTGTCTAGTCAGTGCCTGGGTGGTATGATGCAGCATCTATTTCCTTACAGTTGATCTAGCAGTGCTCACTGGATATCCAAATACTTGGATATTAGTTTATAGCTTTTTCATATCTTGTGCATGTCTGTAACTTTATCTCTGATTGCATTAGAATGCTCTGTAGTCTTCATTTTCATAGCTTTCCTTCAAATTTACAGTCTGACCAATGGTACTTGAATTAAGGAGGTTTTTTATCCAGAGAAGGTAAACTTCTTTAATGATTCCACAGACAGAGGCCAATTGTTAGCTAATTAAAGCAACATCTTTCTTCTGTGTAAACATGGAGCTTCTGTAGCACGGGGGTTGAATACTTACACAAACTGCGTTTTTCAGTTTTTGCCAGAATTTTTTAATGTCACTAAGTTGATTTCTTTTTGAGGGTCAGTATTTTAAAAGAAAGTGAGTCAAGTGTCAAAAATATCAAATGTTTGTAATCTACATGAATCTGATGACTTTTAAGGAATTTTAATCATTTTTCAAGGCTCTGTAGAGTATGTATGTGTGTATGTATGTGTATATTATAGGTACACTGATGTGTTGGATGTGGTCCAAGCTATCGTATCTCATCCAGACCCACGGGTTCAGAGCAGAGTAAGTGTGGGTGCAGTCACAGCCTGTGTCAACCCCCTAGCTTCCTTCATGGAACACAGGTAAGAAGATCACCTTGTCCCTAAGCTGTGCACTGTTGTCATCTTCTTACATGATGCATGCAGTAATAAATGTCTGGTTGAGTTTCTCTCAAACCATCCCTTTTTCCCCAGGCTTCTTTTCCCCAAACTCTTGGAACAGTGCAGTCAGGGTAAGGATTTTCATTTTTGTTGTGCATGCATGTAGAAGTGTAGAGTTTTGTACAGCATTTGTATTAAATTCTCTATGTGGTACAGGGGTGGTGAATAATGTGGTATTTACGGGTTTGACCACGGACCAAAAGCACCCTCTGCTAAAACACATGCAGCAGCTGATCCGTTCAGCGAACCCCAAAGCAGCATTCATCCTAGCTGAGAGAGGAGCTGTGACCAGGTCAGCAAGCACGTTTGTACACTAAAGACAACTCGGTATCATTTTATCTTTTCTGATGCCAGTAATGATGTTGCAACCATTCTATATTTCTCTATAGCTTTAAAATGAGCTGTTTTTAATTGAAGAACTTAAGATGAGCTGCTGAAAGTAGGCTATTATACTCAAACTACTCATACGCTCACAGGAAGAAATACAGCTTTTTAGCATTTTCTGCTAATATCAGCCCAATACCGAAACCTATCAATGCTGATATGTCATCTCTGCACATAATTCATAAGCATTTTTGTTATACCTTACGGTTAGACATCTGTAATAGCTACTGTTTCTGTAATACAGCCCCAGAATAACATTTTGTGAGTTCATAAACTTATCTTAAATCTAGATTATAAGTTATATTTTCTGTTATTTCCGTTCTATGTTTGTGTTTCAGTTATGCCCATATCTGTTGTTGGCTTGGAAACCGACATGACAGTTGATTGTAGTAGTTTAGAATTTCCTAGGTTTTCTTCTATCTGTGATCTATGTTTTTTTGCGATCTTTTTACTATGAACTGACAATGAAACAATGTTTCTTTACATTTATGGCATTTGGCAGATGCTTGTATCCAGAGTGACTTACAGTTTTAATCATTTTACACAGGTAGGCGAAGGTAGTGTTAGGAGTCTTGCCCAAGGACTGTTTTTGCTACAGTGTAAGGTGCTTGCCCAGGCGTGGCTCGAAGCCCAGTCTACAGCATAGAAGGCAGAGATGTTACCCACTACACTATACCAACCACCTGTTAAGAGATTTTTGAAATGACTTTTTCTGCTGTTTTTCTTCTGTTCGATTTGAGTTGGGTGGGATAGATTCTTTATCCTCCAAATGGGTGGTATTTGAGCATCAGTTACTGATGCTGCGTTCGAGTGGTGTCGGAAACTGGGAAATACAAATTACAAAATACAAAAATGACTGACAAAGTTGTACTTACACCTGGTAAACTCGGGATTCTAGATGATATGTGAGTTTATGAGTTAGTTTGACTGTCATGCGTTTAACTTTTTACATGAGTGAAAAAGGCTGAACTTGCAGTAAAGGTGAAAAAATATATACATGACTTGCTATTAGATCTATGTGCTTTTTAACACAGCAAAGAAAAAGCAGGAAGTGTATTCTCCACACCTCCATACTTCAGTAATATACATTTGCGTCTTGATGGTATCAAATCTTAACTTAGGACTAAAGATAGGAAGTTTTTGTAATATGGCCCCAGGATCAGAACAGCAGCAGATGTGTTGTAGTGATCCATGCTTTATGATGTTTCCGTTACTCTATTACAGAACTGAAGATATGCGGCTGATTCTGAGTGATGGTGGTTTCTCCCAGCCACAGATGATCAGAGCCCGATACCTGCTCTACCCTGGCTGGTGAGCCTCTGTGTGTGTGTGTCTGTTGTGTCTGTTGTGCGTCTTGTGTTTGTTGTGTCTTGTGTATGTGTGTGTGTGTGTGTGTGTGTGTGTGTGTGTGTATATGTAAGAGAGAGAGAGAGACTGTATGTGAATATATAAATACATGTGCCACAATAACATTGTAATGCATATTGTGTTGTAGGTGGGAGGGCAGATTTGTGTCTGGTTGTGGATCTGTCTCCGTGTCTCAACACTATTTGCAGTTCAGCCGTCCACTAGAGAAAACCTTATTCCTACAACACTGCAAAGGTGAATGTGTGTCTGTGTGTGAGAGAGAGAGCGAAAGAGAGAGAAATTCTTTCATCTAGGTTGGTAATAGAAAATAAAGATGGTGTAATCTAAACTGAAGGTGTTAGCAGCGTGTCAGAGTACCGTGTGAACATGCTGCTCAGAGATCCACTGAAGATACAGAGTAGAGTGATGAAAGCTAATCCTGCTATGTGGTGTAACGCTCTCTGTCTCTCTCTACCCCTGCTTCCCCTTTCCTCTCCTTCCTCCTCTCCATCCTCAGGACTAAAGTCTTCTCTCAGAGGCAGCTCTTTCACAGGAAACATCTATCACATCAGTGGGAAAGTGCTGTTTTCTGGTAAAGTTCTACAGTTCTTTCTCTCTTTATTCTAAATTGTCTTCTACATTCTATGCTTAACGTAAGACATAAATAATGTATTTCATGCAAACTGTCAGACTTTTTTTTATGTATATATATCACTGAACAGCAGGATTCCTCCTCCAATTGCTTTGTCTGTTTAAAATCTATGTGTGTGATAAATATGTGACTTGCCTTTGGGAAGTGGTAGACAGGAGCCCTCTGGGCTACTTCTGAACGGTAGGACTTTCACCTCTAAATCCTCAGTGGTGTGGCCTGCTCCGCTCATCTCAGTTCTCCTCTGTTTTGACTCATTTTTCTCGATTGTTTTTGGAAGGGTCTTCGAGCCAGTCCTTTATTTGTCCTTGTGACCTTCTGTGGTGTAGTTGCATGGAGAGAGTGAGTAGAATGCAGAGGTTTGAACGGCTGTTTTGAGTGGTTGGGATAAGTCGATTTACTATGAGTTGATTTTAGTAGTTTGTTTGAGTTTCAGCACCATGAAAAGCACTCTGGATAGTGTAGTCCATTTATTTTTTCCACCTGGCAGGAGTTCATAAGATCCTAATGCCATCTGTGATGCTCAGTTATCACCATAAATCATCTGTGTTTTGTATTAAGCACTTATGATTTTTGGTTTCTCTTGATTTACTGTAGTGTCTGTCAGATCCCTGTGATGATTTAATTTGTATTATGATGCATTGTTTTCGGTTATTTTGATCCTAGTTGTAATTCCTGCTTGTGTGTACAGTGCTGTTGGGAGTTCATTTTGTAACGAGAGGAGTAGTGAGAGTGGGATGTGTGGTTGTAAGCACGCTGGGCTAGACATGGCTGAGTGCAGCACGTCCCTGTTTGATGATTCTAAAGCATGTCACTGTGTTACATACAAATTTAGTGCATAAATGTGATTTGTGTGTGTGTGTGTGTGTGTGTGTGTGTGTGTGTCTTTTGTGTGTGTGTGTCTTTTGTGTGTGTGTGTCTTTTGTGTGTATGTACATTCCTGTAAGCAGACAGTAACAGGTTGATGGAGGTGAGCTGTAACTCTGTCAGTGGGAGTATAACTCTTTCCCCTGATCAGGGGTCCACTTATAGCCCCAAGACCACAGACAGCTGCTACCTGCTGTTCCATGGAGTGGGACTCACCCAGCAAGGCCTAAAGGACTGGCTCAGGCAGTGTGCTAAACAGGTATTTTCATTTATGCATGCACAAGTTGACAGTAACAGTGTGAGTTGTTTTGGCGCTATCCCTTAGCACATTGGATTTAAACTTGAACGATTACTAGGGTGTTAAAGTGCAGACTTCCAGCTGTTTGTTCTTACATCTTTAGTACATGCACAAAAAAAGATAGCAAAAGGTCTAGAGATGATTCACTTGGACATAGAGTCTTTTTTTCTGTCGTACCTTAACATGAAGACTAAAGATGTGTCAGTGGTTTAAAGCATGGCGATTAAGTACAAGTTATTCATTGTTCAATGTCAGAAAAACGCAGAAAACAGATATTTAGCAGAAAATTACACAAAGTCTCCAACACAGCAAATCCAATCTATTTAGTTTGTCCACTGTTTACTTGTATGCACCCTACTGTCACTTTGTCTTTCATCCTTCCAATCTGAAAACCAGCAGTGTCCTCTCAACAAAAGCTGTTTCCAAATGTGTCACCAACATCATGTTCCCCTTCAAAGAGACAACTAACATTCACACAAGCAACTACCCAAAAGCAACTACCCGAGCACACCTTAGTTGTCTAGCTGTTTTGTTTCTCATATTTGTCTAAACTGGCTGAAGGAGATATTTCAGAGGAGATTAGGTATAAAATATAACACTTGCGTCAGAAAGGGGAAAGTCAAAAGAAAAGAGGAACCAGGAGTTCAAAAAATAAGATAAATCATGATGCATAACAACCATGCAATACCTAGTAGACCACCAAAACTGTCACCAGCAGATAAACGATACTTAAAGCTTTCATCTTTGAGAGGAAAGAGAAAATAGAGCACCACTCTTTCTTCAGATCTGAAAAAAGAGTTTTTCTATTTTAACTGAAAATTACATAAACGAAACGGCAGTCCCAATCAAATAGACTTGTAAATATTACTCTATATCAGAGTGATGAAAAGAGTTGTGAGAAAAAAGGAACCTATGCCCATAATGATCATAGTGTACCATGGCATCATGGTGAGATGGTTGCCAGTAGCACTGCCTCACTGGTCTTTATTGATGATTTGATGAATGCTGTACAAACTGTACAAAAACAAAGGTCAGGTTCAACCAAGTGCCTCAGAACTCTTTGGACAGCAGGTCACTGCAGCAGAGCATCACTAGAAAAGAATCGTGTCTGGTGATGTGTGGGTCACAGAGTTCAGGGAGTCAGTCAGTGATTTGCAGCACTATACTTGACAATTTTACTTCATATTGGGGTCTCTGTTCTCTATGCATGTTTACTCTAACCAAATACAGACAGCAGGGGAGCAGCAGTGTCACTCTCACATACACTCTTGTATTTGACCTTGCATTCTGTAAGATGAGTATTAAGAAGCTTGAAATTTAACGCTTCTAAAGTGATTACCACACTACTGAAGTGTTTGATGTCTATTTCTTCTGACTCCTTGAAATGATGCACTGTGTATAAAATGGGCTGTGATTTCTTTATGCTTTACCCAGCTCACATTGTGCTCTTTAACGTCATGTTCATTTTTTTTTTTTATTTAAAATCCAGTGTGCTGTAATATGGAGCCAAGTCAACAAAAAATGCCTCTGCCACATTACTTAGGGACTACGCTATACGTTCAGATACTCTTATCATTGAGACGCATGCCAGTTTCTGGATTTGTGTTTTCATGTTTTCTAACAGAAAGTGCTAAAGAAAGTTAAGAAGACCAAAAGGACTCTTACACCACAGGAGATCAGAAACATTCATGTGAGTAACAGAAACACATGCACAGAAAAAAAAGGAACAGAAAACAGAAATGGTCCAAGGGCTCATAATATTATGACCTATATTGTTTATAGGTGAAGAGGCACCTGGAACCACTCCCTCCTGGTTACTTCTATAATGGCCATCAATTTGTCAGTTTCTTTGGAGAGAAACAGAATTTCCACCCTTGTATCCTTCACCACAAGTATCACTGTTTGTTCTGTTTTCACCTACATTACTGTATTTGTGGAATTGAATGGTATGTGTTGTTTCCTTACATGTATATATTCAGTGATGGACCAGTTCATAGAGGAGTATATTCAGGAGGCCAATAAGGAGATAGATCGCTTTAACAGAGAGGTGGACCTGTATGCACACACTGATCTCTTCGAATAAAACTCTTCCACTGTCCAGTTCGGGAAGGGAGGGGTGTTCACTCCAGGACCATTAACACCTGCCGTCCAATCAGCTGTTCACTTGATTGTCCATGATGTCAAAAGAAAAAATCAAAGCACTAAGGGAGGGAAGGGTTAGCCATGTCGTCATAAAATCAGGGAAAACCACTGCAGTCTAGATGATGAGGTCTTCACCCAGCTCACTCGCACTGTCTCTCTGTAGATATCTCCTGAGAAACAATCCACCTGTAAATAGTGTTTCTGGGAGCTAGTTTGTAAAGCACAATAGGAACACCTGCGTTTGTGTCCTGAGGTTTTAAAAAAGGCATTTTGCTGCATTTATTAACCTTGCCCTGGCTTCTAAAAAGTATGATTATTTAACCATCTTGTTGTAGGTTCAGATGGTCTCTCACTACTGTGTGTATATAGTGTTAATATAATCTTGAGGAGTTCCTGCAGCAAGCCATATGGTCTTTATTACTACTAGAGAGATGACAGCAGTCATTTCACTCTATTTCCAGTACCATGTACCCAAAGAATTATTGCTAGGCTCATAGCTGGATGCTAATAGAATTTGTCAACAGGGCTGAATCTGCTTTAACAGGAGAAGGATCTGAAGTCCACAACCAGAGGAGTACAGATGGGGGGACAGATGTGATACTCTATCAGTCTGTAGACTCCAGCTGTGGAGTTGAGGTGATCATCTCTCATCTACTGCAGCACTGAGTCATCCAGTGACATCAAGTCACTCTGAAGTGATCATTAAAGCAGGTGATTTGACCACAAGCACAGAAGTCATTCCATGCAGGGTGGGGAATAGGGGGGTTGGGGTAAGGGATGGTAGTCTCACAGAGTGTTACAGGAATCTGGGTTTGAATGAGAGGCTGGGTTGTAGATGGGATAGAACAAATTTGTTGTTTTTCCCTTGTTATTGCTTAAACCGAGTCTCTATGATTGTAGAGGTGACGTGTGAGGGTAGGGATGGATTGGCTTATCTTCTAACTTACATAAACGTGGCTTGAAATGTGTGTTGTTAAAGCCTCTGTTACCTGAGGCTATGACTTGGGTTAGCTGAGGCTTTGATGGGTTGGGGCGGGTCATATAATAACCAGCTCTCGCTGAAGTGGGATTAATATGTGTTTATTAGAGCCTGTAGGAGTGGATCTAATCTGTGTCATGCTGTTTGCAGGCAGATTTAGCTCTTTACCTGGGGTCTCTGTTCTCTATGCATGTTTACTCTAACTAAATACAGACAGCAGGGGAGCAGCAGTGTCACTCTCACATACACTTTTGTATTTGACCTTGCATCTGTAAGATGAGTATTAAGAAGCTCGAAATTTAACGCTTCTAAAGTGCTTACCGCACTGCTAAAGTGTTTGATATGAAAAGGAGGGAGGGATACGCTTCCAAAGAAACAGACACTGCTGCTCTTCTCTGTGCTGCAAGTATAGTAATGGAATTCTATACACGTGTGAGCACGATGTGTGGGCTAGCATCTCTCTCACCAAGCCATATGCAGTATAGGAGTATGTCAAAGTTGCTGTGGTCATTGATATGCTAGAGAGATGTGTTGCTGTCGCTGTCCACACTTGTCACTGTTGCTATGGAGATTCACTATATGGTAAACTTGCCGCCATCACCATGGAGACTTGTGACTTTGTACCTTTTTAGCAAGCAAATGCAGTTTGCCCCAAGATAGCACAGGCCCTGTTATGGTGAACTCTGAAAGGACAACACACTGTGAGGATGTGTGTCTGCTCTAAAGTAAAAGGCAAAGCCGAACCAGCTCGCGCACCATTGACTGACAGAGCCCTTATGCTGAGCAGTTGCTCAGAGTGGAGTTACACAATCCCTATTGCACCTCAGACACACATTATCAGAGTGGTATCATTGTCAGAGCCAGGCTCAACACAGCAGCTGTCCTTAAAGGGTATAGGGCTATGTAACACTTATATAATCTGTAGTTGAAAGTAGCAGTAATTTTTAGCACATACTATCTGCATGTGTTAAGATGTCTTACTAAGGTCTATTTATACCAACACAAATGCCTTTCACCAAGCTGGTACTACAAAGAGAAAAATCAGTCTATTTTGCATATCTGAAGAGAATTGAATTACCTTGAGACAGAAAAAATGTATTTTTATAAGGCTGTGAATTTAAAATTAAAGAAATACATTAAATGAAGGGGGTTTGCTGCTCCTCTATGAAGAACAGAAGTTTTGTCAGAGGCTTCAGGGAAAGCTGCCACAGCAGTGCCTTGGCCGAGAGGAACAGGCGTTTCGCCAGGCAGAGTCGAGCGCCAGTGTTGGTGAAAGGATAAGCAGAGTCTTTGTCTTATATGTGAAGGGTCAGGGGGGATGCAGGCTGGCAGGAGGGCATTGGAGGGCAGCAGAGCAAAACCTTAAACAAAGACAACCAAGTGTCAGGGCAAAGCCTGGGCTTGGATTAAGTGGCCATGGTAGGCGTTCTTTAAAAGACAGCCCCATGTCAAACTTATTTAACACTTAGATGGATGAATGCAGATTTGGCCATGGGGTCCTCCTTGTTCTCTTTATTGCAAAGAGGACCTCAATGAGGCCCTCCAGGCTGTCCCCATTTCTGCCTGCTGGATACTCCCCTGGCCATTGTACCTGTGGAGCTGAGGTTAGAGGACTAAAACAGAGTTTGGTGTTTAAGAAAGAATTTGCCTTTATATGTGAAAAATAAGCTTAGATTAGAGGTTGCATTGTTGTTTGGATTAAAGGGATATTTTGAAGTTGACTTTTATTATATTTTATTTTATTTTATTTTATTTTGTAAGCTGAAGATTGGCAGCAGAGTTCTAAGGCCATTCCTTCAAACTGAAGCACTTTTGAGACTGTAATCAGAAACGTCTCCACTTTGGCCTCTAATGGAATAATAATAATAATATACAGCAATATCTCTAACTTGCTGTAGATACTGAAAACTTGTTCCCAACCAAAGTATCTCACCCCTGTTCGTTAACCACCCCTTAAAGTCTGTTGCTTATTATTATTAAAGCCTGAATTGTCTTTCAGAGGCTGCTCCTGCTTACAACTTCTTAAGCCTAGAGTTATCAGGGTTTGAGCGCAATTGGCGGTACCAGCATAGAGCTGTTTTCTGCTGTTTTTAACTTTTGACTAAAACGCTCACCAGATATTGATCGTGCTTTTTAGGCTAATCAGGTTACAGTAGCTGCTGAGAGGGGTCCCATTAGGAAAACAGAAACTAAAGGGCTAATAGATTTAAATTGCTGCTGATGTTTGGTAGGGAACAAGACTGAGGTAAAGAATTCCAAGACTAAAATAGAAATAAGCAACATGGTATTGTTCGCACAAAGCCGTCCCGGTTCTGGAGAGAGAGGGATATCACTGAAACTTTTAGTTCCAGAGGGGAATAATGTGTTAGAAGTGAGGAATTCCCAAGACTTTACCTCAGAATTAGAATATCTATTGTTAAACTGAAAAGGATTTCAGAAAGTTCTACTTGAAAAGTGCCAAAATGTTTTTATTATTTTTAAGGGGTTCACTAAAGCATTTGAAAATTCAAGTAATTGATTGTATTTGCACAAAACTACTGTAACTCTTGTTTTCTCCTGTGACTGATGCTTTTTCTAATCTATATGTTGTATTTATGAGACGGAATAATCCATTAAACTATTTATAAGCATCCTCTGCTAATATGTCTCCTTGATTGCTGTTGCTGGTTGATGCGGTTTCCCAACGTTCTGTGCATAGTCTCGCCATTAGGAGCACCGCTGTGAGTGGTGTTTGTTGGTGTGGGTGATGTTTGTGTTTATACACTCAGCAGTGGATTTGTCACATGGTGATAACATCTTTGAAAATGCCAAACCCTGCATCAACACGAACCTCAAGAGCTTGCCATTACTGAGGCTATTTATTACTGTGTGTGTTCTGTGTGTGTAGGCTGTAATAGAGCTGTGTGTTTATCTGATATTCACTCACCCTGCTGTACACATCCTTTTCTTGGCCCGCACTTTTGGGCTCCATCCAAATGTGCACACATCAAGCTTTTCTTGTTTTTATGTAAAGGCAAGCAGACTTGACGTCCCCTCGTGTACATCCATGCACACGTGCCAAACAATTCCCTAGACATTATTACACAGTATCAGCACCTCACGCACAAATCCAAAACACTTCTCTGCTCACAGATACAACACCCTGCATTACTGTCACCTTATATCAGCAGCACTTCACCTCTCCCTAGAGGCAGCACCCAACATACACACACATAGCAGGCATTGTTTCCTCCTCGCTGGGCAGGGAGCTGTGGTCCAAGCTCATTCCGAGGCCCTATTTGTTTTGACTGCAGCATGTGAATGTACTCTGTTCTGTGTGTCCCCTCTGGCTTTCTACAGTACAGCTCAGTGCCAGTTGGATACCAGGCCTGATTCTGATTTGGAAAAAAAAAAAAATAATAATAGGGCTTGCTCACTGTCCTCCAGCTACATCCACCCGGAAAAATCCATCTCAATCGTTACCTATTTTGTCATTTTTTAAAGAAGTTTCAATGTATCATTCTTATTTGAAGTGTAATTAAGCCAGGTTGACTCTAGTCGTTAACAAAAAATTGGGGCTAATTGATATAATTGATCATTGATGTTCAGATTAGTAGTTTGTCATTTGAAGATTCAACATGTATATTTTCATTTTGACAGTTTTGAAGTAATATGTCATGTAATTCCTATTTACTAAACTGTGTTCTGGACTTGCAGCTGCTTTCCAATCTTAAGGGCCCATCTACCCTTTACAGCCCTGTTTCATGTACGTCTATATAAGCTTTTTCACAGCCACAAAGAACACGATGCACATCTCATGCAGCTGATACACAGGCAAACATAGATACCAAGACAAGTATGTTAAAAGGAGGTTGCTGTATTTAAGAAGTGCTTGCATTATCATTGTCATTACTTGATAATGTACATCCAGTGCAGGGCAAACAAGACAAAATATTTAGCAAATATACATCCAGTGCACGACAAGACAAAATGTTTAACCAAAAAAAAAACCTCTGCAATAATGACATGCAACTTCTTTTATCCAGTTTTGACCATATTTCATTAAACTCTATGCACTGTGCAAACTGTCTTGGTGCCATGCACACTGTCTCTGGCTGAATCCCAGATGGCCTCTTGTTGCGCTATGTAGTTCATGAAATAATGGCTTCTATACTCTAATGCAGTATGATCCCGTTTACACCTGGTCATTTCATATCTTAAATATCAGAATCATATTTGGATAGAGATTATCTGCATAATAGGGCATGTGTAAATGTACCCAGAACACATTTAAAACATTTAAGTTCGATTGCTCAAACAATTTCAGGAGGCTGCCTGAGATGCATTTTAGCCAGATACCAGTGCAAATGTATCTGTCTCTCCAAGCCATGTTCAACGCCCAGCACCACTACCAATACGGTTACGCTGCATCCCTCAGCTCTGAGTTTGATTCAGCAGCCTTCAAGATAATTAAAATAAAGCACTAGTTTGGTTAATCTTCACTTTCCCTCATTGTTTTTCACTCATTGTACATGACGTAATGATTAATACAGGAGGCTAATTATTCTAAACAGCCATCTTCACTACATACATGTATACAAGCTCGTACAACGAAATGAATAATGCCTTACAAAATTGTGATTTTTGAGGTGACAACCATCTTTTGAACATGAAAAACAACACAAGTTGTTTTATATGAGCTGATTTGCATATTACATGTCATACGGCAATCAGTGTTTCAGTCTGACTAACTGGAGACAAATTTGTCTTCCAAGTGTAAAAACAGACTCAAGGCACATGATCTGACCAGGTGTAAACGGGGTCTATGCTTGTGTCCCAATTCAGGGGCTGATTCCTTCAGAGGCTGCATTTGAAGGCCGATTGCATCACAGTCTCATTTCAAAGTCTCTTTCATATGCGACTGAGAAATGTGTCCTTCTTTTCCATGGCATCGAAGGATCCAACAGGTGGATCCTTCGCCAGCCAACATATCCCGAGGTTCATTGCATGCCGGCAAGGATTCAAGAACATGGTGGCATCAGCAGAGAAGTGAAAGGCACTTGAGGAGACACTTTCAAATGTAAGTATTGGGTTTAAACTAAGTTGAGTAGCTAATGATACAGATGTTAAAAAAAATAAAACAACTTGGTCTAAAGCAAAACTTATGCAATGTTTTGTTTTTGTTGTAGGGAGCAAGGAGCTGACAGATCAGCATCTTCTGGCCCCATATTTAAAAAAAACTTGACGAGCGGCGTTTCATGATGCAGCGGTAAGGCCGGGAACAGCGGTGCTGAGACGCAAACAGGAAATCCACTGTAGAACAGACCGTCTCATTTCAGTTCAGCCCTCATGGGTCTATGCAGCCTTTGAAGGACGTGCCTTCGTAGACTGCGTCCTTCGAAGGATGCAGCCCCTGAATTGGTATACAGCTTATATGTCCAACAGCCATTTGCAATTTTCAATGCAGCTTCTCTTCCTTGTCACGGCTCACTTTTCAGGTCAAGGACATTGAAGGTCATGAGGACAGCCATGTCACTAGCCTCTGACGTGGCAGCGATCAGTTTCACTTGTGTGGCACCTCCTGTGAAGGCCTCGCCTTCCCACACCCTGCTCTTATTCATCTTCAACTCTGCTCGCTCCTCTGCTAGCACGCTCACTCTCCGTGCTGCCGGCACCCGCACACGGAAACTCACCCAGCTCCGTGGGGCCAGCAGGCCTGACCGCGGCTCTAGCAGCACACACCCTTTCCCCCATGCCGAATATACACATGGGAACGGATCTCCACATCTCTCACATGTGCTCCGCAGCACGTAGTCACACAGTGGGGTGTAATCTTGCTGAGGTGGCGTGCGTCCATACAAGCCTAGGCGATACACTCCCAACCTGGGTGCAGAAACACTCACGGTCACCTTGCTGTCCGTGGATGTGAGCAGGACATACCGTGAAAGTGGGAAGAGGGCCTCTCTGTGCAGCTCTGCGCTGAGGCCCCGGTTAGAATTGTCCTGATTCTTTTGACTCAGCTCTGAGCTGGGGCTGTGCTTAGAATCGACTTTGTTCTTCTGGTGCTTCTCTGCACTTAGGGCCTGTTTTGAATTAGCTTGGTTCATCTCTGCACTGAGGACTGCATGTATTTGCAGCTCTGTTGAGGCACGATGAAAGGTGATATTGCAGCATCCCTGGGGTGCGTTCACTAACGCCCCCGTGTGGCTGAAGTGAGACAATCCAGCTGCTTCGGTGCGCATGCCTGGGCCACACCACAGGCCAAGGTCAGGGGGGTACAACTGCTTTAGATTGGCTTCTTGACCCCTACAGCGCAGCATGAAGTTACCTGCATTCTGAAAGGACCCACTTCTGTCGTTGTAATCCCGCACAAACATGGAGAGACGGTAGAAGCCTTTGTAAGGGCACAGCACGTGACACACCAGCCGTTCTGCTGCTATTTGCAATGCCAGGCAACGCTTGGCCAGAGCGGGGTCAAGCGCAGGGTGTGTGAGTTCACAGACCATCATCAGTGGTCGAGAGGTGTGCAGGATCACCTCGCACTCTCCTCCCTCACCCACTTCTACAGGCTCTTCATTCAGTACACTGCAGCCCTTCACACCCAGCTCCCCTGCCCTGGTCCCTAACCCCCAGCTCACGTAGGGGTTGGCAGGTAACGGCTGGCTCTGCCGGATGGCTGGACACTCCAACTCTAGAGAGCAGACCCATCGTAGTGCCCCAGAGTCGCCCTCTGCCCGGGCGAACAGCTTTAGCTCATAGTCTCCTGGGTCCGGGGGCAGCAGGCGCAGACTCATTCCCTGACGGGTCACTGACAACAGGCCACAGGAACTGTCAACCTCCCTCTGGCCTGGAACTCCCGTCTGGACGTCCCGCTGCCTCAGCTCATAGGCAAAGGTCATTGGTCTGGATGAGGTCATGGACACAGTCGCCTCCCCATCCTCTATGGAACACATTAAGATTTGACAAACGTTACAGGACAATTACTGCTTTGTATTCAGGTTGAGCGCCAGAAATCTTTTACCTGTGGTGCTGTTAAGGAGCTGGCTGTTTTCACTTTTAATGTTTCCTTTTCCATGTTTGTGTGTTTATATCCGTTTGCTGCAGTGCTGTCTGCAGAGGGTATTCCCTTGCTCGGTTTCAGGAAATCTCAGTAACAATAACACACTGGCCCTCTTTCCCCTGAGACACTCTAATCTCTCAAGCACACAATAACTTCATAAACAGTGAATAAGAATAAGTTATTTTGAGCCTCTCTGATCTGTTGTCCCAGAGCCATGGAGCATGAGCTAATGGCAGGAGCCAAATATTACCTCATTCTAGAGTGTATGTGTGTGTGCCTGTGTTTTTCTGGCCTGTGCATGTGCAACTGGGCACTTCTTCAGTGTTTTCACAGCAAATCTGCAAGTATAGATGCTCACAACTGTGTATAGAGCATATGCAGTTGTGGGCCAAAGATCCCCAGTCAAATTACATTTTGTTTGTTTTCTAAGTTGAAAATAAGTTAACATGTCCTCTACAGGGATAAAATACTGTACAGATTTTTTGGAATTTGCAAAATAGTAGTAGTTTTGCATTAAAATAGTAGTAGTTATGCATTAAGATGTGCAGAAATGTGTGTAGATGATGTGTACTTGGCATTTAAATACAACAAACATGATGACT